TGTTGTCACAGGGGTCCGGATTGGCTTGGCCTTGGCCGGCGGCGGGTCCATCTTGGCTGGCATTGGCTCTGTCAGACACAGGGGAAACTTCTGGCAGCTCCCCCGCTACCAAAACCTTGCCACACAAACCCAACACATTCCACCCCTCGCCTCTGTGAATCACATATTTAAGAATTATCATTAAAACACACACTCACTACAGAAACTTCACAAACACTAAATCACACGAACAAGAAGAAAAAAAAAAGATTTCCTGACACCAAAACCAAAATAACATCATCACACCAAATAAGAGTGGACAATTTACACACACAATCCACCCCTCGTCCTTTCACCACTGTTTCACTCTCTGGCTACGTTCAGTCCATGTTTTGACGATTGCCTCTTCCAATTACTATCCTTATCTCAATCCTTCTTGTGCCCCACGTTGGGTGCCAAATTTTAAGTGTTTGTTCATGTCCCAAAGCTTATCATCATTTTGGTACTACTGCCAGTTTGTGTGCAGAGATGCTGTAAATCAGTTTGTTATTGTATTATAACTGTACCTTCAGTAAGTGCCCTTACACATTAAAATTTACCAGATGAGACCATCTCACTGGTCAAAAGAAAAGAAAGGGGAAAAATAGTAGGCTTTTAGTTAACTGAACCCTTCTGAAACTCTGCTACTTTCCCATGTAGGAGCCAGCTAGCTTCCTGCTTTCAGGTTCATGGGATCATCTGTGTGTTAGGCAGTAAGAAACCAGGACCTGTTTTGTGCCTTTTTGTCTTTAAAAAATATCTGTATGCTTCCATCAAATTGAATAAATGTTCTGTGTATTTCTTCAAAACTGTAACTTTGATTCATTGTCAGGTCCTTCCAGAGCAGTTTGAAAACAAGAGGGGAAAACACCCCAGCCAAAACATCCTTGCCTGGTTTGCACTCTGCCCTGCTGCCGACGTGCCTGCTGTGGTCCAGCGCAGCTGAAGCTGTGCTCCAGGCACCTCAGCTGGCAAAACCAAGGACGTGCCTATCTGAGCGGGCGCAGGCAGCCCTCTGGACTGGCCAGGTGCTGCTTAGCGTGGCTGACGGTATCAGCAGCGGTGCAGCAGGGATGCAGTTGCACAGCTCCTGGGTCAGAGCTACCTCACATCTGCCCAGCGTATGGGGCAGAGGAGCTCAGGATTGCCCCTGCCTGTTTGTCTGGATAAGCCGCAAGCGTCATATGGTTTTCCATTTTACCCTAAGCCTTGCATTGTGCAAAATCTCTTAGAGGAGGCAGAGTTTTGAATAGTAAATGTTTGTCAGCAAGGGTTTCCCAATGTGGACAATTCTCTTCCAGGGACTGGTGTGCTATCTGTGCTCAGAGCTTTCTCAGTTGCATCTTACTGGACTGCCAGACTAGCTGTTCATTTGGTATCTTGGGCTAACCACTGACCTTCTCGATGAGCCGGACCTGATTCCCAGCTGGTGTTGTATGGTGTGCCAATATCATCAGGGAAAGGTTGGGCCTGCAGATGTATTTTCCAGTTTCTATTTCTAGCCTGCAAGACTTCCGCTCACCTGACAGCACTTTGTTAATATATCTCTTTATAAGAAAAAAACCCAAATCCTTTTTAGAATTTCTAGAAGTGTTTTACCTTCTTTATGTTTCACAGTTAGACTAAAATTAAAATGGGAATCCAGCCTCTCTTAAGGGTCCTACATTAAAGACAGTCCACAACCTCTCTATTTTACCAGTCAGCATGAATTCCAGGTTGCCATCTGGAGAGCTTTTTGGCAGATTTCTGAATAGCCAGACCAGGTTCTTGGGATGCAGTATGTCCCAGGATACGTGCATTGCCCAGGGACCAGTGGGAAATTGGGAAAAACTGAGTAGTTTTCTCCACAATTACTCTCTCTGCATTTTATTATGCCTTCGCTGAAACATCTGGTACTGGTTACTGTCAAATCGAAGGTGCTGGATGGATAGCTGCTGTCCCAGCCCAGTGTGGGAATTACCATGTAAGTGTCTTGCCACTGGGAGAGGAAGAGAGGATGCTGCTTCTCTCATCAGTTTTAATTGAGGGGCCGGGAGTCAAAAAGCAGCTGGCCGGGACTTCAGCTGTTGTGCAAATTCCTTGAGTCCCCTAACATCAGGCAGCATCCTATTTTGCTCACCTGTGTTTACAGTAAAAATTCTGGCACTCAAGGAAGGCAGAGGCAGGAAACAGGTGGCCTCTAGATTTAGGTATTTTAATTGTAGAAAATGTTTAAACTATAGGCCAGTATGGTCTCGTCAGGTGCTCTTTATAACAAGATGTATTATGCACCCCTGAACTCTGTCCATTATTTAGGCATTTCTTAATACTTAGCAGAATTTAAATGCAGTCCCAATGAGACTCAGCCATTTTAGCAGGTTGCATTTTCAGTCATTGTCAGGCATATATTAATGATTCGTCTTCTTTTTTAATTAGAAAAATAAATTTGGAAGTTCTCCCCTTCACCTTTATTATGTTATTTTGAAGTGGGCTTATTTGCAAGGTCAATTGTTTATATTTTTAACTCATCCCATGTACTGGGTTTTCTTTTTGCCATGCTTCTCATGGCATCTTGCCTCTGAAGCTCAAAATTGAATTTAGTCATTCATTTCAGTGTTTAAATTAAAGGAGCATTTGCCATGCTGCAAAGCTCCACTGCACTGGGTTGGGCTTTCTCTTTGTTATTTTTTTCTTTTTTTTAACTTTCTTCCATCATTTAACAAAGGGGAGATTTCTTTACTGTAATAGCTAGACTTTGTCCAGCATTTTCTCCTTAATGTTACATGCTAGTAAAACTTTCATATCTAACAACTTTTAGAGATTTTTAAGGAAAACTTGCAACAAATTTTTTTTCAACAAATCTATAAAAATGGTAAAGAAAGAATTAATGAAGTGCTCAAGCTCACAGTGGACTGTATCCAGAACCTTAGATTTATGCATTCAGTCATTTGCAGAATGAGGCCAGAATAGAGCAAACGCTTCACTTGGCTGCTGTTTGAGTATTAAGGTAAACAACATGCTTAGCTGCATTTTTAAGAGATTTTTCACAAAGCTCGTCCATGTTATTTTCAAATGACTAAATTAAATACAGATTAGGCTCTCAGCAAAACTCCCCAAAGATTGTTTACTGAAGTGATTAAAAGAAAAATCTGTTAATGTTTGCCATGTAAGGAACATGAATCATTTTACTTCGAGTGCCCTGTGGGCTGCATTTAATTTATATGCCATCCATTTAGGTTAAAAAAGTGAGTAAGATTTTTCACTGCTTCTTAGTGCATATTCTGAGGTAAAGTGCCATAATGCTGACAAAATCATGTTTGTGGTGGTCTTCATTTGGAGAAAAGCAAAGACGCTGTACTGTGGTAAGTAACGTGTACAACTTGCTCCAATTGAATTTTGAAAGCAAAGGAGAGTTGAGGCAGTTTTCCTTATGCACTTCATGACAAATGGGGAAATAGCGTGACTGCTCGGATACCTTATGATGAGTATTGTATTTGAAAAGAATTCCGACCCCAAATGCTTCCCATCCAAATCGTTCA